TGATTCAGCGGCTGAATCTCCGAATCCAAATCGATCAAGAGACCAATGAAAAGGTGCAAATCCATTTGAAGCTCTCCAAATCGATTCTGAAATGAGTCGGAGAGCTTCAGAGATTTGGGCAGTGCCCACTTGCTGCTGCAGGGGGCTGGACCTGGACTCCATGCTGGTAAGTAGGGGGTGGGGAGGGCGGGGGCTGAAGGAGAGAGGAGGGGACCATGTGGGGACCCCCACCAGGCCCCATCCCCTGCTTGCTCCCCCAGCCCCCCTGAGCCACTCTCCCAGCCCCCTCCCTTGGCAGCCCTTCTTTAAAAAAAAAAAGCCCCCCCACACACTGCTTTTTAAAGAGCTGGGAGCTGGGCCAGGCACAGCAGCCATGGGGAGGGGGACTGAGAGAGTGGGCAGAGCTTGAGGGTGTCATCAGATGTATGCTTTCATCTGAACCCTCATGTAATGAGGGTTCAGATTTGTGCAAGATCATGCCCTTTTAAAGTGTTCTGCAGCTGTTCGCTTCTGTTTGGTTACAGCTGTAGAGCACTTTCAGGGGCCAAATCAGGTGAAAATTGTCACTTCTGTCTATGCCTTTAGTGTGCATTCACACCCTGCTACAGGTGAAAGAGAAATCAGAAAAAGCAAGGATTTTCAAATGATCCCATTTTTGAAAGAGGAAAAGCAAGCAGTGGAAAGATGTCATTTCCAATGTTTGTTACTTTTTTATTTAAAGGGTGAGTGAAAGATTAAATTACTAAAGTTTGGCTTTTGATCTTGTAATTACACGCCTAGTTATTCTGGGCATTCAACACACATGTTTAATGAGGCTAGATCTTTTCAACTGCTTTACTGCTGGTATTCAGTGATTTCACTGCATTTTCATCTAGGCTTAAACACTATCACTTCACGAGGAATGTAATGGAATGGCCTTAAAGAACCAAGCAGCACTAGCAGTGCAGTTTGTCATGTCTGGCATTTTAATAACAGGAACAAAATCAAAAGCCCAATATTTGGGTATCATTTTGTGTACACACATAATTTCACAGAACCTTAATATTTTCTAGAAACTTTTCAATTCTCCTTTAGAACTTTCCCTAATTGCATAAGCTAGCTTTTTTGTCCTTTTGTAACCTACATAGAGCGAGTCCCACAATGCTTTTATGCAATGGAGAAACAGGGAATGGAATGATATGGAAGTGCCCAGCAGCCAACCTCAGTTCTTTGCACTTTTATCATTGTATAGTGCTTAGGTTATATCATTGGATTCATACACGGTGTAGATCCAGTGGCTACAATTTCTTCATAGGGTAGTATGGCCACTTAATAGCAGCCCATGGGTGGTTATGCTTTTTCCAGCTAGTGTGTAGACCTAACTCTCTGTTTCAATATTGTTATTGTTAATATTGATGTACTGTTAAAGTTATGAGTGTGTGTGGTTATGGCCAACCTAAGAAACTCCTAGAAGGATTGAATTTATGGATTGTTAACCTACTTAGGAGTGAGAAGCATGTGCAGGTGTGTTTGTCAAATTGACAGGAAGGCATAAAGAGGACTAAGGTAAATGCAAGAGACAGTTTTGAATGACAGGAATGTATCAAGGTAAGAATGAAAGTGATTGGTGATGTATAGGATGAACAGGCAGTGACCCAGGATGACTGGCTAGGCAAAGGTGGTGTGATGAGAGATGCAGAAGATAGACAAGACAGCTGTTGTGGTTGTGTCGGGGGTGGGGCGGGGGTTGCTTTCAGGATTTCTTTGTTTCGTTTGGTTCATCAGCTCATTCATTCCTGCCTTTCTTTGGTTCCTGGTTCTTGTGGCTTCATCTTTTGCCTTTAAAGGTTCTAAGACGGTGAGGAGAAGAGCTCCTGTCTTCCTTGTCCTGTTCAAAGCTGCCAGACCTGTTGAGGGCTCCATTGTGTGGGTGAGTGAACGATTCTTGTGTGTCCGTGCTTGCTTGAGTGCGTGAACTGAGACACAGCTGCTGCACTAGATTAAAGGAGTCTGATCTAGTATAAAGCTGTGGTGTGGAAGCATATTGGTGCCTGGTAATGCATATCCATTGCCTGGTAAAACATTGAATATATTGTCCTTGTTCATCTGAAACTGTGTTAAAACTCACTGTTATTGCTTTTTCCAGTTCTTTCTTTAATAATTCTCTCTTTTAATTCTTTAATTTCTTTATTATTAATATTTTTTTAATTAACCTCTTTAAATCTCATTATTATTTCATCCAACACACCGGAAAACCCAAGTTGGGCCTCCTAACCAGCACTGCTGGTTGACTTGGCTAAACTTACCCTTTTGACCACCCCTTTTAGGGCTGAAAAAGTGGGATCTAATCTCTTCTTAGCTTTGGACCTCAACTGGTGGAGTGCATCTTGGAAGTAACCTGCATGTCTCAATTTATAAACTAGAGAGAGAGCCAGCCAGCAAAAAAACCTATTTGGATTTTGCCTCAGTAAATTTCACAACTAGCAAAAGCCTCTCTGGTCTTGTCCAGATTAGCATTGTTAATCTGGACAAGACTAAATGTGCAGGGTTGGCTAACCCATGTTTGAAAAGTTAACAATGTCAAATGCATCTGGCACAACAATGGCTGGGTTCATATGGAAAAATGCAGTAATGTGCCAATGGCCTGGAAAAAGTGCAACAGAGATATATAACTTACTCTAGTATTGCTGTATGAATCCAGTGAGAAGTAGTTAGCCATCTTAGTTTGAAATTAGACAGAAGCCAGGGTAGATTTGCACCTTGCAGACTAACTAAATTAGCAATGTATAACATCAGCTTTCATAAGCAGAGGCTTATTTCATCAAATGATGTGAAGGGACTGCAGGACCTGGATTAGCTTGTATAACCCCTAAGAACCTCAATGGGAAAATGCTTTTTCCTCTTCCTACCCTCCTTGCCTATCAGCAGTGCCCCTCTTTTTCCCAATCCCTACCCTTTGTATTCCAATCACTACTTTTTATTTAGAAACTGTTTCCTGAAGTCCCTTCATAGCCTCTGATGAAGTAAGCCCTCTGCTTACAAAAGGTCATACTATACATAAAGTACATGAACTGTCGCTCCTGCTGCATTTGACATCATTGACCTTTCAGCTAGAGGGCAGATGTGACAAATCAGTGCAGAAATCTTAGTTCCTTTGCGCACACACTTGAAAAATCTCGTCTGAATAAACCACATTGTCCTAAGCACTTCTTAAATTCATTACATAGCTAGACGAGTATATTTATCTGCATGCAACTTCCATGAGTAGTTAGCTCTGTTATTCTGAAGTTAGACAGAAAGTGTGGCAGGGTGTCACTACGGATTACCTCATTTAGAGAAGCATGATCTTTTGTAAGCTACTTCTGTTGGATGCTATGGAATTTCAGAGAGCAGGGTCACTAATTAGAAAGGAATAAAGTCACTTATATATAAAAAATAGGAAAAGAGGAAGGAAAGGTGGGGGTACCGCTGAAAGGGGGGAGGTAAGTTGAAGAGATCAAAAGGGATAAACAAAGCAGTTAACTCAGTGAGGGTTTATAAGGATATACGGGTTATAAAAGCTAGTACAGGTAACAGGATAAGAATCCAGAATCTCTGTGGAGACTTCAGTCTGGGGATGATTTCTAGTTCCTCAATTTTGCATGCAGGATAATGGATCACAAGCCCTAAAATACATTATCTTTGACAGTGACACTGCTTCTGTTGCCATCATGATTTCCTGCTTTCTCCTCGCACACAACTATTTCAGATTAGGAAACTCCCTAACCCTACAAAGAAATGGTACTGCCATGGGCACATGCAAGGTCCCCTACTATGCCAATATATTCTGATGAGTTCAGCAGCTAGACCAGGCACGCTATCTCTAAGCAGTGTCTATGCTGTGATGTGCTGAGCTTGGAGCTGCGGCAGAGAAGTGTCACACCTACTTTTTCCTGCTCAGTGCCCAATAACTCTTGGACTGAATTCACATGTGCAGACATGGATGGTTTGTGGCACCACAGGTTTGTGGCAGGCAGTGCCTTAGCGTGGGGTCTCCACCTGTCACAGTGTGGGGGGCCCCTCAGTGGAGTCCCCACGCTGCGGCACACCAAGACAGGAGCAGTTAGCCCAGGGCTGCCTGCTCCCCTGTCTTCAAGTGCTGCTCCCCAGCTGGCCAGGGCACCAGATCCCTCAGTATGGGGGCTGCCTGCCAGCTAGCCTGAGTCAACCCCACCCCACCCCTCAGCACAAGGAACAGTGGAACAATGTTCCCCACTGTAAAGTGTATGGGTAGGGGCGTGCACTATGGCACAAAGTAGTGATACAAATTGTGCCGCTACTATTTGTGCTGCTGCAAACGCACGTCCCTGCTCATGTAGAACTCCTGCAGTGTAGCCTTGAGCACATGCCATGAAGCAAACCTAAGAGAGCACCTGAGTGTCCAGCAAAAAAAAGGAGCCACAAGCAGCCAAAAAAGGCCCCACTTTTACCTGCCACTGCGATGCTCAGCCTCAGAAATGCTGTGCAAGCCTACTGGCTTCTTTTTTGCTAGGGCCTGAATGGTCTCAGCTGCCCCAAAATTTAAAAAAAGTGGGGGGAAAAAGAAGAATTTTGGCCTGGACAGCTTGCAGATCCTCAGAGACTCTGCCAGGGCTCTAGTCAAAGCATAGACTACAATCTGAGGCTTGGCATGGCAAGCTCTGGGGCAATCCCACCCCTGCATGTGTTGGGGAGCAGGGAAAAGTCAAGAGTCCTCAAGCATTATTTTTTCAGGCTGAACTTGAAAAGCCCCCACCCAGTTAAGAACTCGTAACTTTTTGTGCAACACTTGAAAGCCCAGCACCTTGAGCCACAGGCCAGGCTTGTAAGCCTGCTTGCTTGCCTGACATCTGAGGGGCTAAATACCCCCATACCAAGATAAACACACACACATGCATACTTACACGCACATGCGCGCGCGCACACACACAAAATCAGAACCTGTGAGAGGGCCCCATGTCCAGCCAAAAAGGGGCCATAAGTAGCTAAACCCCTCCCTTTACCTGCCAGCCTGGTGCTCAGCCTCAGAGATGCCACGCAAGCCTATGGGGCGGCTGGCTTCTTTTCTGCTAGAGTCTGAATAGTCTTGGCTGCCCTAAAACTGAAAAAGAAAAAAAACTGTTAGTGGCTGCATCAACTTTCCCATCTTCAAAGGCATTCCCCAGGCTCCCACTAAAACACGCAGCTAGAATCTGGGGCTTGGTGTGGCATGCCAAAACCAGAAGGGGTTTCAGCATCCCACGCCAAAGCCTGCATTTTTGCAAGCCAGAGCCCTAGCAATAGTCAGGTGGGCTCTGAGGCCCATCTCAACTTGGTATGTGTCATAAGTTCTCAAGCCTGTACGGGGCACTCTTGAAGACCGAAGATCAGGTACTCGCACCCAGAACTAAAACTCACACCCTTTCAGGTCTGAGATCAGCACCTTGGCCCCTGGGCCACACAAGCTTGTACATTTGCCTCCCTGTAGACTGAGGACTCAAACTACCACCACCCAAAAGCAGGCACAGACACCCTTCGTAACAACATCATTAAAAGAATTTTTTTTAAATTAAAAAATAAAGTTTACAGGCCAAGTGAGAGGGCCCATGACTTGGCAGCAGCTGTAGAAGGTATATTATCCTTAAGTAAAGAACCTGTTGACTTTCTGGTCAGGGCAGTGGCAGGGATGAAAATACGTGACCACAAAGATATGGAAGAAGAGGCCAGCTAGGTTAATAATAAACACCGGTTGTTATTATGTGGATAGCATCGATGTATCTTTCTGCCAAAAAAAGAAGATTCTTACTCTATGCAAAATGTTTGATAAATCTTTATGTATTAGCAATAGTGACAATATCACCCTTTTTCCTGTGGAATAAATGAGCGGCATTCAGCAATAAGCTAGGAGGGCAGTCTAACCCAGATCCCCTTGAGTGGAGAAGCTCTGCAGGGAGTGGTATACAGCAAGAGATGTTTGCTTCTGTTTTGGGGGGGGGTCATTTTTTCCAAGAGGTTTGGGATGAGTTAAAGGAGAGAAGGAGGCCACAGGTGGGGTGCCTCAGAGGCATTCAGTGTTAAAAGAGTGACCTAGTTGGCTGTGAGGGGATAAAGCCTGGGGAGAGGGGCTAAAGCCAGTGGGCCAAGTGAGAGCAAAACAGGTGAAATCTTGGGAGGCACTGGAGCCCAAGCAGGACTAGGGGGCCCAGGTGAGAGACAGAGACTCCTTGCTGGGTTAGCTCTCCCTCTCTGGGCCCTCTTGGCCTTTGCAGTATTCATTCTCTTCCTTTCTGGTTCTCTGGCCTTAGTGTTTAAACTTGTAGGGTGCTTTAAGGCCACTCCTGGTCCTCTGGTCATTACTGTCCTAATTGCAACAAAACAGCCCTTCCAGGTACACACACAACTCCCCCCCTTCCATATGAACTCAAATCTTCACCCCTCTGGGCCAACATACCCCTCAGAGAAGAGGGGTTCTTTACCCTTGTCCACACTGGCTCCCTTTCTTGCGACACTAACATCCATGGGAGCACTTCATCTTTTCCCAGGTAGATTGAACTCTTTTGGCCTGAGGGCAAACCTTTTATGATAGTAAATCCCTTCTTGTCTGGCCCTTTGCTCAGCCTAAACACAGAGGGCGCTTGTATACATGACGGAGGGGTTTCTCATTAGCAGCCCTTTCAGTCCTGCCAGCTGCTTCTCTTTTGCTGCAGTCTCTGCTTAGTTCCAACTCACCTGTGGCGGGACCGCTGGCAGCTGCAGGTACCCCGTCTCTTCCCTTTGCTGCCCGCCACATCAGGCTTCTCCCTAGCGGCAGTTTTGTCTGTCCTCTGAGCTGGCATTTCATTTCCTGAGCTCTTATTCTTTCAGGCCACAAAAACCTGCCGGTTTTGTTTACTCTGCACTTTTTCCAGTAACAGGGCAAGGGTTCCCTCTCACAGTAAGGAGAAAATATTGTGTAACAAATAATAGTAGAAAAGAGAGGATAAGAACAAGATGGCATCATTGACCTGTTTCCATACATAGCTTGGTGATTTGAAATAGACTATAAGACGATACTAACCTCCCTTAAAACTTCCATGCATATTTTTTATTACTATTACTATTCAAAACCCACTCTTTTCCTAATACATGAGCAGAATAGTTTGATTACTTTCTGCAGAAAGATCTGTTTTAGCTTCAACGTATGTAAAGCAGAGAAACCTCATTTTCCACAGAATATGAGCCTGCTCCAATCTGCCCCTATTTGGACCTCCTTGACCAATTTGCATACCAAGAATCGAGTATTAACATTTCCTTCAGTTTCTCAACGTGTTATGTTCCCAGTGTGAGATCAAATAAATAACTTGGTAGTGCCACAAGATGGCACTTTTGAGCAAATATTTTCTTTTCTTTTAATTATCACTGAAGATCTTTCTGATAGTGGGTTTGTTTCTTTATTTGGTTGTTTTTTGTGTATTAAATGGTTCTTTCAGCTTCAGACATCTAACTAGTTCAGGAATACCGCTTGTACAGGCAACCCCCGCGTAGCGCTCTTAATGGATTCCTGAAAAATTGAGCGTTAAGAGAAACTGAAAGTATTTGACGACCCAAGATGGTGATCCTGAGCGTTATAATGAAACTCGCCGAGCTCTAAGTAAAATCAAGTATCAATTTCAAATTAACATTATACTGAAATAGCGCTAAGTGAAACAGTATTAAGCAGGGGTTGCCTGTATATGTAACACTGTAACAGAAGGAATACTCACCTGAAGAGGGTGTCCCTCATGTGAGGGCCCGGAGGGAGTGAACAACAAGGGAAATAGACCCACCTGCCCTGTCTGAGGGGCAGGAAGGGGTGTCACGGGGAGGAGGTTGGTTATGTATTACAGGAAGCGGAGCATGGGCACCAACCCGCAGCAGGAGCAGATCCCCGGTGCCATCGAGGGAGCTCCCATCACACCCACACTGGACTGATTATGCTTGCCTGAACTACGGTAATGTCAAGACAACAGCAGTCAACTGAAAGGGTATTCTTATGGGTGTCTACATCAGACTTACCGGGAGTTTCTTTCGGGTTTCGGATGCACATAAGGTTGCCTTACTGTATGGGGAGTAGACGTACTGCCTCTCCACCAGGGGTGAGATCACTTACCTATGCGTGTACATATGCTGTTATCAAGCTATAGCTATAAGCATTGAGTTCATAAGTATTATTCCATAAGTTACTTGAGTTATGAATTAAAACTTAGAACAGATAGCAATGTATATATATACAATAAATATTGTAAATAGTTACCTATTTTGTCAGAGTATTGTTACAGGAGGTATCTCTGTACCGGGATCCTGAGGTTAGCCCAAAGGAACCAAAAGGATGGGTCTATCTGGTGCCCCAGGGGTCCACAAATTGCCACTGGCAGTGGTTAACACCCTGCAGCAGGGTGTTATATATAAAAACGTGCTCATTCATATTGGTAGAATCTTTACTGTGAAACCAGAATTCCTTAGAGCAGTAATAATACTTCAGGTGTCACAAATTCCTTTAAATCCCATAAGCCCATTGGTGTAAATATCTTTAATTTAATTGGACTAGGTAATATATATATTTAGATATCAATATCTACATCTAGATATCGAGATCAAGATATCGAGATCAAGATCTATATATATATAGATCTAGAGCTAGAGATCTATCTAGATATATATATCTAGCTAGATAGGGGTGGGTGTGTGTGTGTGTGTGTGTGTGTGTGTGTGTGTGGTCAATCTTATTTTTAACAATAACAAAAAGTAGTAAAATGTGTCTATATACAGTATGTGCATAATATATAACTTCTAGTATATACTATTTGTTATTTTATTTCTGACAATATGATTTTATCCAGAATACATGACTCAGATGGACATAGAAGACTGATAAAACCTGAGATAACAAATTGTGTGATGTTTCCTTACTGTTTTAGCTTCCAACACTTCTACTCGGGGCCTTAGCAGCAGCATCTCTTACCTTAAACAGCACTGCCATATATTAAGAATTTGCATACTTGACCCTGCTGACAAACACAGTCCACAATGTTTTGTCAGAACCTAAGAACAAAAGCAAATAGCTAGACCCTGATTTTGGCATTCTGGCCAAGCTTGCTATACAAAAGACAATTTAATTTGAAGGCAGGCAAATGGGTTAGAGGTGCTCAGAATAAATTGCAGTAAATTTATTCCTCCGAAAACCCATCCAGTTGCTCTGGCTATGCTTTCTGTTGCCAGTCCACCCTTCCTGCTCTGACACCATTACCAGAGATGTGTATGGGAAGTGGCTAAAACCAGACTACCTCCCAGCCCAAAATGGGCTCCTGCAAATGTGATGTCTCCTTTATTGGAGCACACTCAAGAGCAGCACTTCCTACTCCAGGGGTGGGCAATTATTTGGACCTGAGGCAACATAAGGAGTTTTGATGAGCTGTCACAGGCCAAGTCAATACCCTCCTCTCTCTAGACTTACCTGCAGGGGGCTGCTCTCCACGTTGCCTGGCTGTGTTTTCAGCCATGTGTATGCGTGCAAGTGCACACGTGCATATGGTGCCCCCCGCATCCTACTCCCAGCAGCCCCAAGCAGCCTGCAAAGGGGAACCCACTGCTTTCCAAACTTGGATCCCTGCATGACACTGTGAATCTGGGGCAAATGCTGTCCCGGAGTCGTACAGCCCAGGACTGAGACTTGAGGGTCCCATTCCTGCCCAATTAGGGATGGGTGGTCATCCTAGGCCAGGCTGGCAGGTGTGGACAGTCAGAAGTGCGGTGCAGGCTGCCCTGGATGGGGGCAGTAACGGACCGTACCACCTGGGCGAGCTCTACTGCACGTGCCCCCTGCCCCACCCTCCCTCTGGCCCCTTAGTCAGCTCCCAGGACCTAGTGCCCAGCATGGGTGACTGCTGCCTTGAGTTGGAGGACAGGGCATGTGCCTCCCTGACACCAGTCAGCAACCGGGGGCGGGGGTCCTCGATGGCTGAATGCACTGACTAGAGGAGGGGGGTGGCCCCCGGCAGCTGATCTCACTGACCGGGGGGGCGTCCCCCCACAGCCGATCTCACTCACTTTTGCTGGCAGGGCCCCCCCCCCCCAGCCGATCTCACTCACTTTTGCTGGCGGCCC